CTCTGGCCACACCGTAAACGCAGAGGCTAATAAAGCCCTGACAGACCCCAGGCAGTTCAATTAACAATGCTTTGCTATAGCATTCCTCTGTTTAATAGGAGAGAGCAGTGGAAATGGCTGTGGGGAGAGTTTATAGTCACTCATACTTTTGTCTGTTTTCACTGATGTGATTCTTGTTAAATGTGGATCAGAAATATTCCCCTATTTCAGCACAATTTCTCTCTGTCCCTCACTCTCTTCCCCCTATTTGAGCTAAAATTATGACTGTTTCCCTCTTGCGGAATTAAATACAGAGTGCCAAAAAGCTCAGAAGAGTGTTTAGATGGTTATTTTTCTCACACATTCTTCATGCTGAGGAAGGGAAAAACTCTCTTACATTCATTCTCACTCTCTTGATTTTCTTTTATCTTTTTGGTGGCGCTGATTTTCCTCTGGCAGGACACAGCAGCACAAAGAGAGAGGTTTGCCTTCGTTCTGGTCCACACACGTGGCTTCACAGTCTCTCTCTGCAGTGTGTTGGTTGTGTAATGATGAACTGCTGGTTGGTTGTGATATCAGTACAAACAGATCAAAAAGTGTGTTTCTGTCTCGTGGATTGAGATGGTGATTTTAGAACAGCTGGATCTCACATGGCTCAGAACTGGACTTAACTCAGTTAAAAGTCAACTATATAATTAGGGCTGTTGATTTAAAGCATTAATTTAGTGTGAGTAATAATTTGACAAAAATACTGGCCCATATGTAAATTCTATAATAGTTAAAGTTCAAGCTTAATGTACCACCTTTTAGATATCAGACTGCATATATACATAAACTACATATACATAATATAAGACTAAATAAACTAACAATTCTTGTGGGTAACACTTTCTATAAAGCCCATTTTTATAACACATTATAAGGGTATTCTTAAGGCATTATAATGAATGCATAATGCATTATATATATATATATATAAACTTGTTTCATCTAATAAATTATCATAACAACAATTATAATGCATGATAAAACTTACTTATTTGTGGTTATAACTTTTATGAGTAGGATTATTTATAACAAGCAATAAACACCATGTTAAATCCACTTAATTTATAGTGTCTCATATCTTGACATTATTTATTTAAGATCTGTACAGCATCTTACTATCTTACTGATATTGCAATAAATGTAGTTAAAATCAAATGTGCCATATTACACATTCATCTGATAAGATATCTGATCTTATGGCTGTTGAAGAAAAAATATATTTTTTTATTATTATTATTATTGATGTCATTGTTGTTGTGATTATTTATAAGTGGTCTTTGTCTACTTTAAGTAAAGTAACAAGTTAACAATGGCGAGATATGGGACTTATAATATATTATAACTATGGGAAATATAATCCATTGTTATAATGCATGATAAAACTTACTTATTTGTGGTTATAACTTTTATGAGTAGGATTATTTATAACAAGCAATAAACACGATGTTAAATCCACTTAATTTATAGTGTCTCATATCTTGACATTATTTATTTAAGATCTGTACAGCATCTTACTATCTTACTGATATTGCAATAAATGTAGTTAAAATCAAATGTGCCATATTACACATTCATCTGATAAGATATCTGATCTTATGGCTGTTGAAGAAAAATATATTTTTTTATTATTATTATTATTGATGTCATTGTTGTTGTGATTATTTATAAGTGGTCTTTGTCTACTTTAAGTAAAGTAACAAGTTAACAATGGCGAGATATGGGACTTATAATATATTATAACTATGGGAAATATAATCCATTGTAAGTTAAGTGGATGCATTGTGTTCATTGTGTATTATAAATCATCATAATCTTAAAAGCTGTAACCACAAATAAGTAAATATTATAATGCATTAAAACTGGTATGATTACTCATGAGATGATACAACATATTACGTTTTTTTTATACTACATTATGCATTCATTATAATGCCTTAAGAATACTCTTATAAAGTATTATAAATAGCTTCATAGAAAGTGTTACTGTCTTGCGTAAAAGACCCCAAAACTTAATTACTAAACAGATGCAAGAAATTAGTCAACAGGCTACTGTAAAACTTATATTCTTATTATCTCACTATTTTTATAGCACGTTTAAATGTGATTAACAGTTTTACTCAGAATTTTAGTGTCAAAGTGCGAATGATTGAAACATTTTGTAAAGTCGTTTGCGTGAATGACAAATGTGGTACATTCACCGGAAAAGTGAATTGTATTGCAATTTAACAGGTTTCATTTGTGAAAGTGGATGCTGTCGGTGTGCCAGACTGCATTGGTTCAGAGATAAAGAATAAAGTCTGCTGACACAACAAACACACACCCACGCTAACCCATCACATTTCTCCAGAAAGTGAATCTAAAGGTGGAAGTAGATCAAGACTTTTTATTACTATTACATTTTATTACTAAAACACACACCCTGACCCAATGCAAAACAGTTCAGCTCTATCCGCCGAAAACTGCTGGGTTTTGGAAAAACAGACATTCCAAACAGTGTCTGCTTTTTTGAATTCCCTGCTTACTTATATTGACACAGACTCAACACAAATAACCTGAGTACACGCAGTACTCCCACTTAAGTATGACTTTACATATCATGTAAATATGTACTCTCTTTAAGTACACTTACGTAGCCTTTTATGTCATTATTATATTATCTGCAAGTAGCTTTTAAAAATATACTTTAAATGTTTGAAGCACACTACAAGTCACAAGGGAAGACAGTAAAAATCACGTGAATTCTTTTGCTATACTCTATATTTAGTTTTCCTGTGCTGATCTGAGAGAGAACAGCCCAGCCCAGCCCAGCCAAAGGAAAGAAAACCATATTTGAGATCTCTTTTGATGCCTGTTTCACACCATACACAAAAGCAGTGTGTAAGTAAAGCAGCAGGCTAGCATTGTTCTTTCGAACAACATCTTCAGCTCTATACTTCTGAGATCTCCTTTAAGAGTAATGAAATACCCTCTGAGCTGTAGTTGTTTTATCTTGCAGAGTCACATGTGGCTTTGCATTGTAATGTCTCTAATCAGCTCTGCAGTTACTCATCATGAGGAGAGCATGTGTATGTGAGAAGAAAAATGTACTGTATGTGTGTAGGGTTGGACGGAAACGTCTGGCCGCTATTCCACTGCTAAATCATCCTTTATGAATCTAAGGCAAACTAGTCTGCAGCGGAGTACTGCTATCTGCCATACTTTACTGGGACTGTACAGAATCTCTCCACCACTGCAGTCCAGGCACCTTAAACTAAGTTTTTAATCAATGAGTAGGCCCATCTAATCTTCTAATTAACCACCAGAGCATACAAGCAGCAATTTACATTACAGTGTCAGTTGTTCCTGCATCTTTCCACCTCCTCAACTCCACCTCTACAGTGTTTTGCCTTGTATAATCAACTCATTAGTAGTCCCATGGGGGAATATAAGAGCTTGAACTCCAGTGTCCTCCAGTGCAGATAGAAATCTAAACACATTTAACCATTCATCCATTCTCCAAACTGCTTGTTCTATGTAGGGGCACAGAGATGCTGGAGCCCATCTCAATGCCTTTTGCCACAGGCAAGAAAACACCTTGGATCGATGGCCAGTCCATCACAGGGATAAAAACATGTTTAACCTTTAGAGCTCAGTGATTAGATAGCTGTCAGAACTGATGAAACTGCAATTTAAAATGTTAAAATTGCACTTAACTATGCTGCAACTTGACATCTGGATGTGTGTTTGGTTAAAACAGTCTTCTCCATCATTTGACAAATTACTGTTCTCTGAAGTTATGTTGACCAACCAATCAGACTGTAACTTTCGATTTCCACCAGAACATGCTATTTTTTGCCAATGGATTTGGGCGGTCTGTGGCGATGTCTTCTGAGGCTGAAGCTGGAGGCAAACTGGTGGATTATTCAGCCAAGAAGATGGAAAGAAAATAAGCAGCAGAGTTGATCAGCCAATGGAATACCAGAAATATGAAAGAGCATCTCCCCCTCCAGTCCACAACTCCAGAAATCTTTTGAGTGAGACCTTCAGCCAAACCTCACAGTAGCTGAAGAACTCAAGCTTTCCCTCAGAGGGCCACAGAACTGAGACAGTCTGTCAGACGCCCCACCAACGTAATGACTTACACATACAACTTACATTACCACATTTACGCTTCATCAGCAATGGAGTCCTGCAGTTAAAGGAATACAGTAGTTCTGCCAAATGTGAAAATTTGGTCATTAGTTCAGTTAAATTCAGTTAAATTCTTTCACCTCAAGGGATATGTGGGATTCTGTGTCTGATGCGTCTCTATGCTAAATATAAAAAAATGTTGGTACTAGTTGATTATAAGAATACCAACGTCATTTAGAAGTTCTCAGTTATGTATCTTTAACGGCTGTTATCATTGTTACATGAACATACAGTATATACATAGCATACAGTAGCTAACATAATTTGGTCTTGGAAAGGATTTGGTTTTTATCTTGGCAATTCTGAGCACAGTCTGAAAGCTTGCTGCAATCTCTTTTGAAACTCTAGAAGATACTCAGCAGGAGAATCTGCCTGTAAGTCTTTTTACAACTCCTTCAGTGAGATCACACTTCGTGATCACAAAGTTGCTTCAGATTTGTCTGCCAGTTTGTATCATAAGCAGTTCAAGTCTGTGAACCTTGCCAGCAATAAACCAAAAAAAAGTGCGGCTGTTCAGTTTTCCACTGCCCTTGCATTCAGCCAGCTCAAATATCACAGATTAACTTCTCCTCAGAGAGCAGAACCTCAGACACAAAGCTCTGAAGAGATGCCACAAGCACTTGGCGGATGGGCGACCTGTCACAGGCTGTCACGCCGGGCGAGGTAGATGAGTACGATGATGAATGTTAAATGTGTTAATGAGAAAAGTAGCCGCACGTGCCTGTGCTCGCCTGCACCGCCAGACAGCTGTGAATAGAGTTTGAGAAACAAAAAAGACGAGAATGAGAGGACTGATCCCTTACCTGGAGAGATCTCTCCTTCACTCTGATCCCCAGAATCTGAGTCCATCTCTCCACGAAGAACCTCTCCACTCTTCTCTTGTCACCACTTCCTCTGTTTCTGTCTGTCTCTGTGCTGTCTCTCTGCACTGAAAACTGTTTTCTTGAGCTTAAATACACCAGCTCTCCGTGTTCAGAATATAACTGACTCAATGAGTGCGCGCTGTTTGCAGAGTGCCTTTTCTGTGCAGTCAGACTGCCTTTTTTCACTGACATTCACTTGCTTCCACTTTCTCCTCTCGTTTGCTTCCTTCCCCTCCCTCTCTCTCTCTCCCTCTCTCTCTCTCTCTTTTTCTGTGTCCCTCCTCCCCCTTCTTCCCTCAGCTCGACATTGTGATGCCTACAAAAACATTAAGAAGAGGAAAACTCTGCCTCTGAGTTGATTCCTTGCCTGTGCGGAATGTTTTGTATGTTGACGAGTTTTTTTTTTTCATTCAGACATATTGCTGGGTGCTATTTTAGGGGGAACTTCAGTTTTTAATGTTAGAAAATGCGGTTACACTTTATTTTAAGGTGTCCTTGTCACAGTGTAATTATACATTTAAGTACTGAGTAATATTAATTAACTACATGTACATACTATATGTTAGGGTTTGGTTTAGGGTTACTTGCATGTAATTATGCATGATTAATTGTTATTACAATAGTAAGTTCATGTAACATGTGTAACAAGGACACCTTAAAATAAAGTGTTACCAAAAATGCTTTTCAGATAAACAAGTGAATGAGATGATACAACATAGTATAGTGTTGAAGGTGCTGTATTAGATTGACTTTGCCAGATCATCCAGCTCAAAAATAGTAGAGAAACAAAGTGACTAGGTGCCATCAACAGGTCAATGCTAGTTTAGCTGGTTAGTGTGGTTTAGTTAGCCCCTGCTGGTAGATGATGTAACTACACCATTATAGGGGGAAAAAGCATATTTCTCTTTTGACGGTCATTTGAAGTAGCTGCATATTGTGATTAAATAATAATTTTTTTTCATTATATAAAATAGATTTTGTACCATGTTTGGATTGTTTTCCCCTGTCTCCTGCCTTTGACACAGCTCTGTATAGTCGCTAGATAAGAGTTTGGAATTGTGTGCATTCTTGCTGTGCCATGTTCTTGCTGTGCTGTGCAGTTAGTGTCATAATGTCATTTTCCTGCAGCTTTAGATTGATTAGTCATAAATCATAAGCCTGAATTTAGATAGATTTTTGTCTTTTGTCCCTCCAAAAGTGATAAGCACAGATTATTTCATAAGTATAACCAAAATCTTAGAGGCTACAGTATATTCATACAAGTACATCTCATCTACTTGAATGAAAAGAACAAAATAATTTGTCTAAATTATATTTCAATAAAATATTTTAAACCAGGTATAAAATCTGACTCCAACCAGTGTTCGATTTAAAGGGAGATGAGAGGGGATGACATGCCTCTTGTTGGAAAAACAAAAAAAATGGCCAAAAGCATCCCCTCTGTAAAACCATCACATTTTGAATAATAGTGTACTGTTTTGTATAAAACATCTAATGCAAATATTTATAATTTTACATACGATCATTTACAAGCTAAAAATAATGGCTATTGGCCAATTATATCTCAATATTCCAATAAGCTGAATGCAGTCACCAAGGTACATGCATATGCAAATGTATCTGTGAAAAAAAGTCAGGTTTTAGTCCCTAAAGTTTTGAGCAAGGAATCTGCACTGAGCGACAACAATTCAAACAACGAAGAGAGAGAAATGATTACCAACAGAAATGATCACTCTCTCTTAATCATCCACTGTGAAAGCTTTTGAGTGCAGAAAAGTATGGGGCTCAAAAATAATGGTTATTTGGAACTCACTTTTAGAGTTATTTTTATTAAGAATGACTAGAAGAATTGGAATGACTTTAGAGGCAGTAATGATTAGATTATATAAACGTTTCCCAAAGTGCCCTCCGATGACATTAATCAGGTTATTTGGTACACAGGGAGTGTGTGTAAGAGAGAGTCTGCTGCTTAGTCATATGAGACTACAATCACTTAAGTACATTTGAAATATGGTTGAAGTGTATACTGTCGAATCTACTGACAAGCATTAATGTCATTTCTAATGAAACTTGTATGTCATGTGTTTATATATATATATATATATAATAGTGTACATATATATATATATATGTGTGTGTAT